AAATGAAAGAACGGGGAGGAAGGAAAAAGACGACTTCTCTGTGTACCGCTGGAGAAAGCTGTTTTGTTCTTTTTTTTGAAGAGTCGGTTGGCAGCTCGAACAACTGGAACATAAGCCAACTACCTTGCTATTTATTTCAAAAAGAACCTGGCAACCAAGACTGGGATTTCAAGGCACTTGGCCCAGGATAGAATGCTTAGACTAAATCAGCTTCGTTTCCAGCTCTATAAGCAAGAGTGAGGTTTGTATACTCTTTGCCATACAGTGAGAAGAGAGGAGCCATACCACATACTCTACGCACCCACTCTGAAATTGTCTTCCTCAGGCAAGCCAGAAAAGCTTTCTCTTAAATTTGTATGAGGCGTTTCTTTTTTCAAAATGCTTGACACCTACATCTCTGACAACCCTAGAGACAGGTAGTGGGGGAATTAATATTCTGTGTTTAAAACATTGAGAATCAGCCTCACTGAGAAGACATAGTTAACAATAATGCCAAAGCTAAAATATCAATAACCAAAATTTCTTAAGCACCTACTAGGTATCAGATACTGTTCAGAAGTTTTCAAACATCATTCTCATTCATTCTTACAGCAGCTCAGCTAGGCAGTATCATTATGTTCCTATTATAGATAAATAAACTTAGGGTCACAGAGATTAGTAACTTGCTCAAGTCACATATCTGAGTATAACTGATTTGAAGGCCTATGCTATTCTTTTCCTATAACATGAGGTACATGTCAGAATCTAGCAAAAGTATCTCAATTGGTTATTTGTAGAGAACTAAAGCTAGACTCTAAATACTTTACTTCTTGTCTAACGTTCTTTCCACTACACTACCATGTTTCCTGGTGGGAAGAAGAAACTATGTTTCTTGTAATACTGGTCAGTACTTATAATATCTTATCCCAACCCTCGATGACTATGATATTTAGATCCCTGTGGCACATAGCATCAGCAAACAGCTAGTTATGACACCTGTAAAATTCCATTACAATAACTTTAGAAGCACATAATCTGCCTCAGCATCCCTGTATCCTCCCTTCTCTCTTCTCTGACCATCTTAACCCTGATCAGAAGATAAGGGGAGAATGAATTATAA